GAAGAGCAAGGACCCATGTTTTAAGCAATCTTTCTTATTCGTCAAATTTATTATCTGTACCACAAATGTCTTGAGCATGAAAGGGGGCATTGTTGACAGTTGTGCCAGAAATATGAGTAGAAGTAACCCAAGCAAACTGAGGCACTGGGGTCACTCTTCTCAGCTAGTAACGCCATAGGAAACGTGCCCTCGGCCTCGGGTGGTTGTCCTAGTGGCTGTCTACTCTGAGGGTGTGCTTGGCACCTCTTTGAAGTTCCTGGCAGATTCGAGAGGCCTATATAACTCAGTTTCTCCTAAGACTTAGCTTTCCTGTTCACTTTGACCATAGGCTCATACCTTCAAGCTGAAGCCTACCAATAAAGATGATTATCTGTGACTATCATATATAAAGCAGGTGGGATCCAGGACACGACAAGTGTCACTGGGTTTCCCGATTCTTCAGACTAGGCTCTTCACTAGCTAATTTGAGTTAAAGATTTTTTTTCTTCCGATTTTTTTTTTCATTAAGCTGAGTCACTGCTTCACACTAGCAAGAACATTGCGTTTTCTATGCAAAACGTGGGGGAGGGGCCACCATCCCTGATGATCAAACCAGTTTCTACAGTCAGATAAGACCTATCATTGTAGCCCGTAGTAAATTTTACGCTTGGCATTTGGATAAGGAACAAAGAAAGTTTGGGGGTATTTCAAAATAATGGAAAAGCAGGCTTTTGAAATGCAAAAATCTAAATCCCTTTGAAGGAAACAAATTATACAGTAGTGCACAAGAAAATAAAAAGGCAGAGGGAAGGGCTGAGGTGGTGGGAGCATAAAGTAAAATGTTTAATAGATAAAGGGTCAGAGAGGTGACGGCCAGGGGCCTTAACCTGTACATAGATAGAGCCACCCATGTCCTCACCAAAGATGAGGGGAAAAGGCATCCGGCTTTATTCCTCTGATGAAAAGGTACCAACGTGGCCGAAAGGGCGGGCATGGGGTTGGTAATAGCTCCTTCTCCTTTGCACTCAGCCCAGATGCTCAGTGCAGAAAAACCTTGGTAGGAGACCCGGGACGTGTGATTTTTTTTGACAGGATCTACGGTAGAGAGGAAAAAAAACCAAGAACGCAGAGGCGGAGGGGGTTGATGTATTATTTACAGCTAACACTTGAACAGGGCCCACTGCAGGGGCTGGCTCAAAGACTTGTATCTGTAGGGCTGTGGAATAAAGACAGGCATCTTTGAATTCTCCCTATCATTCTTTTCTTTCTTTCTTTTTCTTTTTTTTTTCTTTTGCTTGCTGGGGAACCCTGCCAGGGCTGGAACAGCATGCCAGCCTCTCAGCTTACTGAGCCACCACCTGCCTTGCCCCTGTTCACCTTTCCCCCTGGCCCAGAAGGGGTAAACTCTTCCACAGAATACCACCTAGCCCCAGTAGGTCAAAAATCTGTGAGGCTGGCCGTTAGGGGCATCGCACGCACGGGCGGTGACAGGTCTGGTGAGTGTTCAGATGGCAAGATGTGCATGCGGCCACCCGTGCAAGAACACACACATGCACGCTCCCGGGTGGGCAGCGAGGAGGGACTTGAAGAATCTCATCCAGAAAAAAACAAAGGGTCCTGCCGCCTGTGCGGGGAGCTGAAGGAGAGTGACAGGCCCAGACAGACAGCTAAAAGAAACGAAAGCCCAAGTGTGAAAACCCACAGCACACGCCGCCAGCGAGCATATGCATCGGACTTCACAGCTTCCTCACGTCTCCAGCTTACATTTGCTCCATATGCTGCTTTACACAGCTTTCTGGGGCCATAATGGGTTTTATTCCGTAGTTTTTATACTAACATGAATGACTCACATCTGCTCCAGTACCCAATTTGCTGTCTAATGTCTTCGCCTGTGAGGAGGGAACAGCTTCTACCGAACTTACCAACGACAGGAGCGGCGGTGCAGAGTCCAAATTCAGGGGAAAAGGCAGGTTAGACCCGGAAATGTGTCAGCTGAGGGGTTCTTCGCAGGAATGCCCCGTTATACAGGGGCAGAACTGGAACCTAGAGAAACAGGAACTGGCTCAAGAATCGTGACCAGGAGGTAGCTCTATTTAGGCTAAATGAGAGCCCTAATTCAGAGCAGTTTTTTTTTTTTTTTCTTTTTTCATTTCCTGCCAAAATCTTTGGCTCGGAGCTTTTCCTCCCTCTATTGATCGCGATGAGAAAACTGTAGTTTGGGTTGGTCACCAGTGACATAGTAATGCCCCCTGTGGGATCAACAGAGCACTGTGTTATTTAGGCTGATGTATATGCATGTGTGTTAGTGTGCGAGTGGATAAGCACAGGCATGTGGGGGCCAGAGGATAACCTTGGGTGTTATTCTCAGGCATCATTCATCTTGTATTTTTAAGGCAGGGTCTCCAGCTGGCCTGGAACTCGCCAAGCAGACTAGGGTAGCTGGCTAGTGAACCCTTAGGGAACGTCCTGTCTCTGCCTCCTCAGCTCTGGGTTTACGAGAGTACACTTTCTTTCTCTTTTTTTCTTCTTCCTTTCTTTTCTTTCTTTTTTCTTTTCTCTTTTCTTTTCTTTCTTTCTTTCCTTCTTCCTTCCTTCCTTCCTTCTTTCTTTCTTTCTTTCTTTCTTTCTTTCTGAGTTCTGGCAATGGGACTCAGAACCTTGTACTTAAAGCAAATACTTTACAGACTGAGCCATTGCCAAGCCCCCTAACCTGGTGATTAAACAGTTTTAAATATCTGTCCAAGCTTGGGGACCTCTAGATATATTGGATCTCAGGAGAGAGCTACAGTGCTGGGATCTGCACGGAGATTGAAGACTCACCTGTAATCTACCCCAATTCAAATGCCAATATGCCCCCTTTGGTTGGGTCAGGTAATGGCACTTAGCAAAATTGGATTGTTCAGAAATCTTTCAAGGCCCAGGCACTCCTCCCCATGTGAGAGGAAGACAAAATAACGATTTAAGAGCAAGTGCTTGCTTTAGAAGAGAATCTCCAGGCTCCCCAGCATTACAGGCCTTCCTTCCTATGGAGACGTCTCACCCCAGGGCCTTGGTTTCCCCATATGCCAACCAGTCTGAATGAAGCACCTCAGCAGCAGGCAGTGTGGGGCTGCACCATCTCAAGAGCTTGGCGGCGGTGGTGTTGTGTAACTGTCTGCCATCTGTTACTCAGAAGCAGCATCATCACAAAGCGCTGAGCAATGGACTCTGCTGCTTCTGCTTCTGCTTCTGCTGCTGCTGCTGCTGCTGCTGCGCCTGCCTAGAGCACTGAGCAGCTCCACAGCTTGCTTGAGGGGTGGGGGTGGGTCCCCTGCAGAGCCGACACAGAACACTTTGGAGGTCCAGGACCAGGCACCTAGGGTGAGGCTCCTGGAATAGATCCAGGGAGCTCAGAAAGCTGCCATGTCCCACCCCTCCTACGGCAGTTATTTACCCAGGCCTTTGGCTGCCTGAAGCATTAACTGGAGAGTAGGAGTCCAACAGAGACAAGTGTGGGGCATCAGCAGTCAGCGGGGGGTCTGTGTGGTGCTCAGCAAACTCAGCTGCATCTGGAAACGGGTTGGCAAGCCTTTTCTGGCTGTTGGATTTCCACAGCTGTTTCCAACCCCCCAATTTCTTAACCTCCAGCCTCTTACCTCCAGGACTCTCCAGGGCTTTTGGGCAGGGCTGCCTTATGGCTGAAAGACAAAGTACCGGTACCAAACACTGGAGGCTTTGTGTGGGCTCCTCTGTTTCTGAGCATGTGTCTTGAGGGCTCTATGGCATTGGAGGAAAGCTGGAGACTTGATTGACACTTTACCTGTAGTCAGGTGTGGGCGCTGCCCTGATACCGTGCTCTAGCTCCGGGAATGAAGATATAGGGAAGGTGCAGCTGTATTACTTGCCGCGTCATTCTCACCTGAAGAAACTTGGAGCCAACATCCCTCTAACTAAAACGATGTGGCTCCAAGGGCCACGGCTCCCCAGACTGCGCAAAAATTTTTATCTTTTCTCTCTAAACTCTCAGGGAAGACAGATGCCTGGCATTCAGTGTTCACATCCATTTTAAGATGTGGAATCTAATAGGGAAGGTATAGGATGCAGCTGTGCTTTGCACGGTTGGTGTAGGTAGGCTAGGTTAGGAACCATTCCCTAGTCTAGAGACATGGTTAGAATTCCAGCCTACCTGAGGCCTGTGTGGGAGCTGGATTCAGAATGTCCCCTGTCTCTAAATCCTAGTGGCTTTCATCTGTAACTGGAGCGCATATTCCTTAAAAGCAGTTGGGGAAGGGATTTTGAAAGATACTTGCGTGTACCTAGTGCTCGAATTCCCACCTCCACTTTCTCACAGCTTCCTGCAGTTGCCCTGACTTTAGGTCCCCTCTCCAGCAAGCCCCGGTACTTTACAAGGAGAGAAAACTCCTCAGGGAGATAATTTTTGCCTTAATTTTTAAAAGGACATCTTTCAAGTTAAATTTAGACCGGCTCAGTTTTCCATTAAGCAGAGAAAGTTGCCAGGCACCTGCTCAAAGGCAAAGACATGCCCTGGGGAGATGGCATGAACTCGACCTTGGCCCTGAATGGCCAAGCAAGCGAGCCTGGACTTGAGGCAGCATCTGGGTCAGCCCCACTATCCCCGTGTTGGCTCCGGGATAGAGGACCCTGATGCGAGCTCCACGTGCAGCGCCCCGCGGCGAACGGGAACTCCTCCCAGGCAGTGCTTCACCTGGCGCGGGTTGGTCCTGGTCCGGTCCTTAAGTCTCAGCTTGCAGCGGGTGTCGCTAGCATTCCTGTAACCCGTGCCCGCCCTATCCCGCCCCGCACGACCCCGGCCCGGGATGGTCCGAGAGCTGCATCCAAGGTCCCTCAACGAGCACGGTGCTCCTCGGTCGGCGGGAGGCGGTAGCGCCCCCTCTCAGAGCCGGGTTCGCTCCCGCCCCGCTCTCTTCTCCCTCGGAGTCAGTCTGTCTGTCGGGCCCGCCCTCCCTCCGCGCTCCCTCCTCCTCGTGCTCCTCCGGGGGTGCCGGGCACAGCCTCAGATTCCACCTTCCCGGCTGCTCCAGTCAGTTTCCCTCGCGGCAGCCGCGGGCAAAGGCAGCCGCGGCGAGCAGCAGCATCTCGGCGGTCACCGCGGCTCTCCGGCTGGAGCGGGCGCCCGACTGAGCGGCCCCTCGCCCCTTCCCGGCCGCGTCTCGAGTCTCCGGCGGCGCCCTTCGCCCCGGCCGTGGCTTCTCTCCGAAGCGGGCGGGGCAGGATCCCACCACCCAACATCGGGATCCCCGGGAGCAGCGTTTCTCTTAGAGCGAGGCGCTCGGCGACTCGTGCCCCGCCGCCCCTGACCGCCGGGGGGTGCCCCAGGGACGCGTCGCCGCCGAGGAGGAGCAGGCAGAGGGGACCATGCGGCGCCTGACTCGCCGCCTGGCGCTGCCCATCTTCGGGGTGCTCTGGATCACCGTGCTGCTGTTCTTCTGGGTCACCAAGAGGAAGTTGGAGGTGCCGCTGGGACCCGAAGTGCAGACCCCCAAGGTATGCCGTTTGGTGGCGCGCAGGGCGCGGGGCACCGGCCGGTGGGAGGGCGCGCGGTCTGCGCGCGGGGTTTCAGGGTTCCAAGGCAGGGCGGGGGGGGGGGGGGGGGAGGGTGGTGGTGGTGGTCCGGGTGCCGCGAGCAGGTAACAGGCGCGGGATGCAGCCATGGGGAGGTGCTTGAGGAATTTAAGAAGCTTCGGGCGTCTCCGGATCCCTGGCGTGTGTAAGTGCCAGTGGGTGTGGGTGGTGGGCGCGCGCTCGTGGACAGAGCGGGGCTCCCAACTTAAGTAGCAGTCCGGTGGCCGAGGGGGCGCTGCGGACCAGCCACCCTGGGACTGGCGGTCAGTGGGTGCCGCTGGAGGGTCGCTGGAGGTTGGCTGGGTTGGCGATGCTGGCACCCATGAGAAGTCTGGACGTTCGGACCTCCTTCCCTCCGCCGCTGCCAGGCCCCAGGGGAGGAGGCTGATGACCCGGGTGCGCAGCGCACGTGAGACACACTAGCGAGCTCCCTGGAGCTTCCCCAGCCGGTGCCTTCCCTGCCCACCTGGCCTGGCCTGGTGGCACCTGGCTCTGTAACCTGTTCTCCAGCCCCTGAGCTGTGGTGGAAGTTGAATGCGTTCAGAACACCACGAAGGAGCCCCTAAGAACAGAAAGCTTCCTACCGGCAGGGAGTTGGGGAAATGGAAATCCAAGTGGCTTTTCTAACTCTTGACCAGGAGTGCAGCCCAAAGGAGTGGAAGGTTCCCCCTACAGGTTCACGCTTGAGATTCAGAGCCCTTGTCCTTTTCCACAGCCTTGAACAGGGGAAAGAGAGCGAGGCCTCTGGGGGATTTGCTGGCAGCTAAACAACCTTTATGAGTTCAGGGCAGTCTGTAGGAGTGGGAGAAGGCCTCGGAGGAGCTTGTGGTCTGAAAGAGGAAGACTGAAAGAGGAAGACCAGTGTGTTGAAAAGGAGGGGATCTCACTACCGAGTTATAGTAGGGAGGGCCTACTGTGTGCTGAGTGCACAGTGGGTGCTTTCTTCATACGTCGTTGTTGAATAGTGTTCTTACTTCATAGATGGGGAAACAGGTTGAGAGTCTTTAAATAGTTCGCCTTACTTAGATCATTCTGGATTTGAACTCAAACCTCCACATTCAGGATTTGCCCACTTGGATCCTATAGACTCTCCTCTTAACCAAAGCCCCACTGTCACTTGTGCTTTGGAATCTCGCCAATGTTAGCTGATCAAAACAAGCATTTAGTTAGCACCCACAAACCCCGGCTATGTGTGAGCTGCCATGAAATGCCGAGGTCCAGGGTTTGCTCCGAGGTTTTATTCGTCCGTGGTCCAGGATGTGCAGGACTGACAGACAAGTGGGTTCACTGCCCTGGGTGTCACGAGAACCCGGGTTTTCCTGGAGGACGAAACAACAGCTGAGTTGAGAAGGATGGACCATTGGCCAGTCGGCAGAGGGCCTCCGAGGTGCGGATGAAGTCAGGGGACTGAGGTGGCAGGGGGCAGCTTGTATGGGCCTAATCAGACATGAGGGTCTAGGGAGGGGGTTACATAGGGAAGTGATGCCGTGGATTGGCGTGTCCATCAGCTGGCCTTTGTAGTACAGGATCTATTTTCTCACTGGCACAGACCCTGACCACAGATCTGCAGGGATTTTTTTTTTCTTCTTTTTCCCTAGGTGGTTCTGCTCTGTGTGATGCAGTTAATGATGCCTGCAGGGACATGAACTTGCTCTGTTTTGTGCTGAATCTCATTACCTTAAGCTGACTTATTCCTAGTTTTGCCCCAGGGATCTGGGACAAGAGTTCTTCTTTTTCCTTTGGAGGTGCTCTGTGTCGCTACACCTTCCCCACCTTTTAATCATGGTTTGTGTTCAACAGACATTTAGTGGCAGGAGGAGCTATGTACCTACCAGGCACTATGCTGATTTTGGGTGCTGCTCTGATGGGTCTGTCCCTGACCTTTGTTATTTGTGTGTGTGTGTGTGTGTGTGTGTGTGTGTGTGTGTGTGTGTGTTTGTGTAAGCTCTGGGGAGTTCCTTGCTGATGTAGAATCATCAAGCGATGCGTGAGCAATGAGTGGTCTCACATGGGGAAGAAGCCTGTTCTTTGCCTGAACATTTGACCCACTCCTCATTTTTGTATATCCTTCTAAAAGTCTCGTTTATTCTTTAGCTCTCGAGATTTGACATGTTTTATTATTAGGTGTACCCTCTCTCCCCCCTTTTGGGTTAGTGTTCTTCTACAACCCATTTTCACTTTTATGTGTTTCTCCATAAATGTCTTGTGTATATTTCTCTATATATTTATGGATGAGCATTTTCCTGGATCTTTATGTGTGTGTGTGTGTGTGTGTGTGTGTGTGTGTGTGTGTGTGTGTGTGTGTCTTAATTAGGGTCACTATTACAGTGAGGAAACACCATGACCAAAAGGGTTTATTTGGCTTACACTTTCATGTCACTGTCAGCATTGAAAGAAGTCGGAACAGGAGCTCAGACAGCGCCAGAACCTGGAGGCAGGAGCTGATGCAGAGGTCATGGAGGGTGCTGCTTACTGGCTTACTAGCTTGCTCCCCATGCCTTGCTCAGCCTGCTTTCTTAAAGAACCCAGGACCAGCAGCCCAGGGATGGCACCACCCACAATGGACTGAGCCTCCCCCCCTCCCCCCATCAATCACCAATTAAGAAAATACCCTACAGACCTGCCCACAGCCTAGTCTTTCTTTTCTGAGACAGGGTTTCTCTGTGTAGTTTTGGTGCCTGTCCTGGATCTCGCTCTGTAGACCAGGCTGGCCTCGAACTCACAGATCCACCTGGCTCTGCCTCCCGAGTGCTGGGTTTAAAGGCGTGCGCCACCAACACCCGGCTTGGAGGCATTTTCTTTTCTTTTTTTTTTTTTTTTTTTTGGTTTTTCGAGACAGGGTTTCTCTGTGTAGCTTTGCGCCTTTCCTGGAACTCGCTTTGTAGACCAGGCTGGCCTCGAACTCACAGAGATCCGCCTGGCTCTGCCTCCCGAGTGCTGGGATTAAAGGCGTGCGCCACCACCGCCTGGCTGGAGGCATTTTCTTAACTGAGGTTCCCTCTCCTCAGATGACTTTAGTGTGTATCAAGCTGACATAAAACTGTCCTTTCGCAGTGTATATCTCAGGAAAGATGAGACCAGGCAGCTTTATGTCCCATGATTGGTGTGAACGGAAACTTTGTATGATATGTCTAAGAGGAACACAGTATTCTCCCCCAACTTGACTGCATGTTAGAATTGTCTGGAGAACTTGACCGGCATAGAGATTCTTGAGTTTATTATGGAGATTATGATTCTGTTGATTTGGGAGAAGGTCCTAGAATTAGCCCTTCTGCGAACGTGTCATGTGACTGCAAAGCAGCGCTTGAGAAATAGTTGTTGTTTGGTTGCTTTGTGTGAACATGGCCAGATGAGTCGTCTCCTCCATGAGTGTGGTCACAACTAAGTCAGTGTGAACCTTTGCACGCAGGAAGTAGAAACCCGTAACGTAGTGCTTTTCCAACTCATGGACTCCGTTTCCCATATTAGCTCATTTCATCTTCCCAGAAGCCAACAAGGGAGCTAATACTTTGTTTTACAGGAGAGATCAAATGACGGTATTGGGGCGGAGATAAAAAGGCTTTTCAAGGACAGCATCAGGACAAGAATAGGATGAGGAATGTCCTGGGGACTGCTCACCTCGTGTTTAAATTAGACGGACAGCCTAAGTCTCCCTCCACTTGTGGGTGATTCAGCAAGGTTGGAGGTGGGCACAGTGTGAGCTCATCTACTTTCTGGAGCTTCTCTGCCCATGGAGAGTTTCCAAATGCGTGTGTGTGTGTGTGTGTGTGTGTGTGTGTGTGTGTGTGTGTGTGTGCGCGCTCACGCGCGCGCGCATGTGCAAGCATGTTTTGGGTCCTCGCCTTCCACATTGTTTGAGATGGGGGTTCCTTTGCTGTTTGTCTGCTGCATAGGCCAGGCTAGCTGGGGCGAGAGGGTCGGGGCTCTCTTACGTCTCTGCTTCTCTTCTTGATGTAAGAACCCTGGGATTTCAAACATGGGCTGTCTGTTGTGACCTGCTTTTACGTGGGCTTTAGGAATATGAACTTAGGTCTCCATGGTTTCAAGGCAAGCGCTTTACCTATCAAGTCTTACCCTTTAGCCTGGGGTTGTGTTCTTGACAGTAAGAATACAGCTGGTACATTTGTCTACCATGGGGGGAAACTCAGGTTTTGAATGAGTACAGTCCACGAGGCATTTGTAGGAAACAAGGATATAATCATGGGGGAAGCCTTTTCCTGGATATGCAGAAGCCTAAGGGAAACTTGCCTCTTGCTGAGACTTTTCTCCAGTGTAGGGGTGGAGGAATGATGTCGTTCCTCCTTATCATAAAGTTGTGGTCCACACCTCTAAAGCAAAAGACAAGTTAACAAGAGAAAATTGATTGTAGTTTTACATGCCATGGAAGCCTTCAGATTGAAAATCCAAAGTCCCAGCGTGTACTGTCAAAGACATTGTAGATCTGGTGGGGAATAGATAGCTGTGGAGGACATACCACTGGAAAAAAGGGTACATTCCAAAGCTGGCGACTGGGGCAGGGAAGCAGCAAAGCCTGTTTAGATCCTTTAAACTATCTGAACAGCATTCTTTCCTCCTGGGTGTGAGCAGCACCCTTTATAGAATGAAGGGCTTTAGATCTACTATCCGACAAGGTAGGTCAGAGAATTTCTTTATTGCCATCTCTAACACACAGACTGCATTAGATTAATCTTTTGAGGTTTCATGCCTTGCTTTGGGTAAAGAGAAGTCCTAGTATTATGTGGCTTGCCCTAGGGAAGAGAGATTCCAGGTTCTTTGCCTTGCCCTTGGCAGAGAACTGGGACGGAAACAGGAGGAAATGCTTATGGAGAGACCTTGCTTCTGAGACCTTCACTTTGGGATATATTTTTTAAAAGCTCCAATACCAGCATGGTGGTGAGAGTCAGTTTATTTCTAAAGCGAGA